CCTCTAGGGCTTCCTTCTCCAATTGAAGTCTCGCGCATTTTTCCCGTAGAGCCTCGATTTCAGCCTCGGCCTGGGACTGCCGTCGCTGCATTCCAAAGAGGGGTTCTTCAGTACTGTGGAAGTGTTCTATTGCTGCCTCCTTATGTAATGTTTCTAGCTGCATTTTAAGTGAACCTATTTCTTTGCTGCTTTTTATCAGTTTTTTTTCGGCTTGTTCTAGGTCTTCTTTTATGCTTTTCCGCTCAGTATTTAGGTTATCCCTTTCGATTCTTAGCTGGGTACACCGATCTACAAGTTTTTGTATTTCGAGTGAGTCGAAATTACTCGCTATAGAACCTCTTGGATTGCCACCGGTATGTTTGTTATCATCACTAATTGTTTTTATTGATGCTTGATCATTTGTTGTTTGATTGTTTCGGGGTTTTACCGCTGAATTGATTTTGGCAGGATCTATGTATGGTTCATCGATGCTAGAAGCCATTTGGGTGGCCGTTGCGGATTTTTGCCGCCGTAAGATGTTCTCCTCTCGGTGTGAACTATCATGCGTCTTCCCTAAGAGCTCTTTAAATTCTTGACTCCCCTCGTTTGATTCTTTTTGTCTTGCGGAGAGAACTGCGATAGCCGCTTCAGTATCTTGCATCTCCCGTGAAAACGTTTGACTGAGTTCATTAAGGTGATCACTAGGATTTTGAACTGAACATGATCTTGCCCTGGGCAAGGCAATCGTCTCCGTGGTTGAGTAGACACTCCTCAAGGACTGCAAAAGGTACTCAATCGTTGCATGGAGTCGGGGGCGATGGATGGCCGCGAGTCGCTCCATATCCACCCACTCCTCCTTGCCTATCACACACACTTTAGCGGTGCTAAACTCCTCCAAGGTCGCGATAACAGCGGAGCGCGGAATCGTAATATGGACTTCATCGGTGGGCACAAAGGTATACTTCCCCGCCGCCGCGCTCCCTGGACTCCCGCCACTGCTGTACTGCTTGAGATGCTCGCGAAGCTGCTGCAGCTTTCGTCGCGCCTCCTTAAGCCCCGCGACGTGCTCGATCAACTCCTGCTGAAGCCGATCCGTCCACGCCTGGGTGCCCACACAGGCTTGGTAGCTGCGAAAGACACCCATTTGAGCGTGAAGCCAGTTGAAAAGCGCCCGCAACGCGTCCCCGGCGGGGCCTTCCATCCTCCCGACCTCCCGTTGCGCGTCGGCGCCGTCTAAATCCGCCGTGTAGCGCTTTTCCAGCGCCTCGAAGTGCTCAACATCCATGTCGTAGGCCGCGTCGTAGCGGCTGAGGCGCTCTAAAAAGTGAGCCTCCTGCGCAGCCACCCGGAGCTCCTCCCAGGGAACCGTGCTCATTGGGATGCACCCGTCGAGAACACTTTGGCAGGCCTCCAGCACGATATGCACAGTAACATTAGGCGTAACTGGTAAGAAAGGATCTTTCAGCGCCAAACGGCCGCGTTGCGGGGGTGAGAGCAAAAGGGCGCGAAAGGCACTCTCATCCAGATCATCGATCGTCGTGCGGCAAGCCTGCGCACGACTCTTGGCCTCACTCATTCCAATCTCGTTCTTCGTGCGCACCACGCCCAGCTCGACGCGCCTTTTCAGGATTGCCTCCTGGTGATCCTCTATTTCATTCATCTTGTTCAACTCCTCACGCCTAAGCGCCTCAATCACACCGACATCGCCGGCCTCCTCAGTGCTCCACTGCTGCAGCTCGACGACGTGATCGTTGAGCGCCTTCACGCAGCCAACGGACGAATGCCACACCCAATCGCTGTCGAGAAACTCATACAACACAAGGGATTGAAGCCTAATAGGTTCAGGAACAAGCTGGATGCACTTCTCGAGGTCTGTGAAGGCCCTGTGATGGGATTTATCCGGTGAGAGGATGAATAACTTGTCAAATTCATTCGGCATCGCATTAAAATCAGGAAGTGAAGGCACAGCGACAGCTGAGCCCCTAGCCTCCTTCCAGGAGCTATCGCTAGATTTTGAGGCCCCAATGTTGGTTCTGTGGCCGTGCTTATCGGCCGCCCAAGACATTTCTGATATTTTTAGATCAATCGAGGATGCACTGACCCTTCTTGTGTTCCTTTCGGACTATGGTTTCTGAATGTTATGCACTACGTGTTACGCCGAAATGGTACAGACAACACCCTTTTCTTCCCGCTTCTCTCACTCCCGTCACCCACTTAGGCACTTGTGGTGAGTGATTAGCCCTTTTCCACCTTCTTCAACTGAGTGGGATGGGCAATTAAGGAAGAGTTCCCGTTGAAAAAATGTATGAATTGAGAACTATATGCGCTTTCTTGTTTTTTGCGCTTCTAAACTTGGTATAATACAACTAATGAAAATTGACACCGAGCGAAATGGAAAGCAGATAACTGATTTTGTTTCTTTGCCAAATGGCGACTTGGTATATTTATTCTTTGAGAATAGACGTAAATATTATAAAATATCTATGTATTTTTTCCTAGAGAGGAAAATGCAAAAATAAAGATCCTAAAAGATCCCTTTTAAATCGATACGGTTCTGTGTGGTTTCTAGGATATGTCGTTTGCAGAAAATAACTGTTTTATAACAGCTTTTTGTCTTGAAGGCACTGTCTTTTTTTGTATATGTGTATAAAAAACTAATATATCCGGAGTTTGCACGAACGGGAGTAGAACAAAAACAATAAACGGAAGGGAAAAATTAGTAACAGTAGCAAGTGCGATTATCATTTAAATAGTCTTTCTTAAAAGCAACTCCACAAGTTGAATGGATATCTTTATATTTGTAAAAATAACTCCTCCTCAACACACTGTTCTCGAAGGAATTTGCGATAGATCACAACATACTTCTTTCTCTCCTGCGTGAATCACAACGTGTTTCGCGCGCAACCCTCCACTTGAGGATTCATATATAATAACCCAAATAGAAAAAAGATGCGATAAAGCACACTATACAAAATAATATATATAGGTATATATATATATATATATCGCAACTCAAAGACCTCGTGGATAGATGCATTCCTGGTGGACCCACAAAACTAAGAAGTTTATTTAGTGCAAAATGTGAGGAAATACCCAGGATCACGAGGGAAAGCGTGGTAAGATAAGAGGGAAACGACTATTTGGTCGTCTCGATGTAAGACTACTCGGACATGGCAAAAAGAAAAAGAGCATGCGTTTCGTTGAACTCGATATTCCATGGGGAAAAAATGATATACCTGGATAGCTTATACTTAAGCGCTTCAAATACATTTCCTAAGATGTAACGCCACGGACCACCCTCCTTCTTCCCCGCAACCACACCACCTGCTTTACTGGGTTTATTTACGCAATCCCCTTCGAAAGAAAAACAGAAAAGAGCGCAACAGCCTAACAACAACCTCTCGAGTAAAGCAGGGGGAGGTGAAGAAGAGTGTCTGACCCCTTCCCCACCCCCCTTATCGTTCTTCCACGCTACAACTCCGAAGGGTGATGTGTCGCGAAGACGTGAAACGGGGCGAAATCCTCCAACAGAGGGTTAAATCCCGTCTTGGTGGTAAAAAGGCTCGTCTTATCCCCGCCATGGGTGCGCCAGAAGGTGGGGTGGCTCTGCGTCGTCGTCGTCTTCTCCGCCCCACAAACCCGTCGGTAGACCTCCCGAAGATGATCAAAGTCGGTGGGAAAACAGATATCCACCATCCCAGCATTCGAGTGAAACGAGGGAACGGGTTGTCGAAGAAACATCTCCCGCGCGACGCGCATCTTTACCTGCAGGACGGGCCCATTCAACCCGGGAAGGCCCTGTCGTACGGAGGCCCAATCCGCCACAAAGAGATGATGCCGCGGGAAAAACTCCGCGAGGGTTTCCAAGAAGAGCATCTGTATGGTGGGAATCCAGGCGGTGCGAAACGGGCTGTGCAACCAGAGCATTTTACTACACACGACGTGCGCGGGATCGTCCATATTCGGCTCGAGGCCGCGAAAAGCGGGCGGGTCTAGCGTCTCCCGGCCTCCGGTCAGGCAAAGCACCTTTAAATTATGAAACGTCTCCTCCTGCATCCAGCCAAGATAACGAAGATAGCGAAGGATGATGGGATCTTTCACGGGGTAGTAACGCTCATGCGCGGTGGCGAGGTTGCCTTGTTGTTGGAAACCAAACCAATGCTCGCTACAGGCGCCCTGGGGATCCCACAAGATGCAGTCGTGTGGGAGACCACTCAGGAGTTCGATCGCCAATACCACACACCGCCGCCGCTCCAACACCCGCCAGTTTAAAATCGAAATGTGATGAATATGAACGTGGTGGTAGTGGTGGATGAGTTTTCGGCGAAGCACCGGTATGAGATAGGGGTTGGTTTCGATCACGTGGTAATCGCAACGCGCGTACTCGGCGGGGAAATACTCCGCCAGGTAATCTAAAACGGCGAGAGCAAGAGCGCCGGTGCCGGCCCCGACGTCGTACACCACGAGCGGCTCCCGTGGATCGAACTTCGCGCGGTACGTCGTAACCAGGTACTCCGCAATCACCCATCCATAAACTGGCTGAAACAGCTGCGTCGGGGTAACAAACCCCGGGGTGGATTCGTGGATTTTCGCGACGTAGCAGTGGTAGTCGTACTGGCTTCTCAACGAGGCGAAAGGGATGGGGTCGAAGTAGCCCGTCGTCATGAGTTGCCGGTACTTACGAAACAACTTGGGGTAGTAGCCCCACTTGATATGGTAGAGCGCGAACTGGATGAAATCGCGCATGATGATGTAGGTGCCCAGGCTATCATGATCCGACAACGCACCGCCTTCAAAGACGATCATATCCTCAAACAATTTTTTCTGCCGCTCCACCCGGCGCTCCTCGAGTTCAAAGCACAGCTTGCAAAGACGCTCGTCGGTGGTGATGTCGTGTTGGGAGTTCACCATCGACGGGATCCCATTATTCCCCATCCCACCCCTCAATTCAGGTTTCGTGGAGGCCACATCCGATCCGGTGGTTGCGGCATTCGCGGAAAACACAACCACACTAGAAGATAACTCGATCTCACCCGTCGTTAGGGATTCGGACGATGAAACCAAATCCGTCGTGTTGCTATCTTCTTTACCATCCGTATTGCCAACCGCATCGCCAAGGCTCCCGGAAGGGGTGGATGGCTGGGACGGTTGTTCACATTCCCGATCCCCTAATCGCGCCCCTCGCAAAAGCCTTCGACTGAACAGGCAAAGACCTATGCTATGAGAAGGGCTCTCCAGCCGACGGGGGATTTCGATGTCGCCCAATAAAGACCGCAGCGGGAGTACACGCCGTGGCGATGGTTGTAAAGATCGATATCCAAAAGATGCACCGCGAGCGCGGTGGAATGGCATGGTAAATGCATTCATAGCTAGACGAATGTGCGAATTGCCGCGTGACCAACACTCAGGACATCCCCAACTGGTCCCACCACAGTAGAGCCTCCTCCACGTGGTAGAAAAATGAAGCATATGGGCTCGCCACTTCATATTATGCAGGCAGGGAGTGTGAAAGATGAAGATGTGCTTCGGAGTCTGAACGTAGACTTATGTAACTTTTCCTAGCAAAAAACAGTCGTTTTAAATTTAAGTAGAAAAAGCAACATAAAGGGATGCAAAGTCGCACAAACAATAACATACATAAAGATATAGATATAGATATTATTCGCAAAAAAATACTCTCGAGCACACAAAATATTCAATTTCATTTTTTCACCAACTCCCCCTCGACAATGTACGTGGGGAGTAACAGATAAAGATTGGTGCAAAAAATAAAGTCTAAAATCGATGTCATTATAAAGAGTTTTCAAGTGTCATCAAAACATAGAAGTAAGTACAACGAAAAACTCCAGCCATGTGGTTCTCGTCTCGAATTGAAGATTCGATGACAGCAGCTTCCAGGCTAGGAAAAAATTGTACATACACAAGGGCAGTCCAATACAACACAGCGGCTGTTGAATGTTTGTCAAATTATCAGTCTAAGGGAACAGTCAAATAAGAAATTCAACTGAGGGGCTTACTTTTGTTGATTGAAAATAATTATTGCACCATTTTGATCCCAAATAATTGACAAGTCTTACTATATATTAGCATACTGTATTGCATAAAGTCTTCCCGTTATTATAATTAAAGATGCTACATGGATATATGCTAACATATGATTCGTTGTGTGCGTGTGTATGAAAATATTATTAAGGTTGTTTGTGATGTATTAAACCCACAATTTAACTGATACAATGATTCAAGGCAAGGTATAATAGATGAGTTAGCATAGCAAAACAAAACGCCTTGACATGAAGGAGGGCTCTTATAGCAGGACTAAATACTCCATCAGAGTCAAAAAGATACCTGAAACCAAGTGGACATCTTTCCTGCGCTTTCCCTCACATTCACACTCACTCCTTCACACTCATAATATTTCTCCTGAAAACTACTATGTGGGAACAAGCTCTAGACCTTATTGATTCCACCTCTCCTCCCCCCCCCCTTTCTCAGCGACTATTTACGCTCTCACTCAAGCGGTTCTCTTGAGAACTGTCGGGAAAAATTTGGACACTCCTCTTGCACAGAAAAAATTTGCTTCTTGTTGTAAAGTGGTCCAGGCTGGGGATATCTTTTAGAATCATGATTATCAAAGGCATTGCTACTCATTCCTATTTCATCTGGCCTCGATTCAACCCCTTGCGATGTGCCACCCGTGCTGGCTTCATATTCCCTCCGACCACTATTTTCATTGGTCATCAAATGACCTGATGCGGTTTCTATGGGAGGTTTTGAGTGTTTTTTAAAGTTCCTACGCCTCTTCAGTTCCATGCACCCCCGCAATCCTTTCTTACGAGGCTTCATAGAAGAACTTACATAGATGCCTTTTCTCCTCTTCCTTTCGCGACGCTCGAGGAGGTATTCGTACGTGGTTTTGTGTGTATATCGCAGATAGATGTGAAACGAAATCAACCTACCGAGGAAGCCAATACCGATCAGAGTAAGCGCTAAGCAGAGGAAAACAAAGAACATAATGGCTGGAAACGCATTGGTGTTGCTGTGGTAAGCGTGATTTCGCATACGCTGCTTGAAACGATCTATATCCCGAAGTGCATCTTGGGCAAACCAGATACTAAAACCCGCAATCCAGGCCATTCCGATCCACGAGAGACCCATAAAAGTTGCGAACATTGAATAATTTTTTGTACCCACACAAGTGTTCAGCCAGCGGCAGTGGTGGTCAAATCCGGGAACACATTTATCACACACGCTACAATGCTTACAGCCTTCCTGTACAAATCGCCGACAGAAGACGCATGGTTCTTCCCCTTCGGGCGCCGCCTCTGCGGTCAGATCCTCCTGTTCAAGCCTCGGAGGACCATCCGCGAACACGCTTGGATCCTCCTGAGGAAGCATCTCTAAAGTCACTTTCAGGGCCACTACACTAACCGTCACGACCAACGAGATTACCAAAACCACAACAAATAGAGAACCCTCCAAATATGGTACTTCAACTAGGAAGTGAGTAAGCGAAACAATGAAAATATATGCCCATGACGCGATTTGTAGAAAATCAGGAGGCCATGCATAGCCGTTACGGCGTGGTCGAACCGGATCACCGTAAATATCCCTCCACAACCCATCAGGGTTCGAATCCCTACAGCAAGACATGCTATTTTTATGCCAACCCCCCTTCCTTTTGTTTTCCTTGCTTTTTGTGTCTACCTTACTAGTGTTAAGTTACTGGATTAAGAAAATAGTATAATTAAAAATGATTCTCGAATACAAAATTGCCACTCATAAATCTAGAAAGACTTCTTGGTAGATTTAATATAATATAACATATATATGTATCCACTCATTCATTAACCCAAGTAGTGTTAGAGTTGGTTCCTTTAAAGGCTGTCAAAATAAGGCAAATGATTCCCTACAATGAGAGAAAGAAAGCATCTTGCAACTGGAGCATTCCACTCGGTGAAAGATTGCTAAAAAGTTACATACTGGGAAAGAAATTGCGGCATAAAACATAACAAAAGGGTAATTTAAACCGGTATGGAGATGTACCCTAGCGTGCCTTTGCGCCTCTCAACCGCGCGTTATTCATCTCAGGAATTCATTTGGTATGGTTACAGAATCTCAGACATCAATAATAATAATAATAATAATAAACTTTAAACTTCACATAATAATAGAGAAGTCCACATGAAAGTAATAGAAGTAAACTAATCGACGTCTTTAAGGATACCAAAGAACTAATCCTCTCTTAGTTACCACTTTTCTCTTGAAAGTGAGGCATTGTCAAACAAACTCCCTTTTCTTCAGTCTATTTTCACTTACTGTATAACTTTTTTTTTACCGTTTCTCTAAATAAGCAACAACACAAATTAATCATGTCCAGTAATCTAGAACTTCTGCATTGTCGTTGCAAAAAGGGAAAGAAGAAAAACATTTTTTTCAACAAGGGAAAATAATATTAATAATATAGTGAGATTAAAAACACACATATCGACACGGAAATCTAAACAAGAATAATAATCACATTTTCACCTGACCTCTTCTCGCTACCAAAAGTCACTTCCCAGCCTGTTGTTATTTTTGTTCAGTACTCACTAGTTGGCAAGGGGAGAGGAGGAGCGGAGGTGGGGAGAGGGGGGGGAGGGAAAAAGTAAAAAAAAAGAGAAAAACCTTTCTACTCAAACATTAACTATTCTCAAAGCCTACTATTAACGTGACAGTGCACTGGTGGTGATTATACACCAAGCCAACTCCATAATATTACCCTCAATTATATTAGGTGTGTATTCGTTATTTATTTTCCCTTCTCTTTCAGTAGAAAAAAAATAGGAAAACGAGATATTACATATGTGAGGTCGAAGTATTATTAGGTTAAGTGTCGTCAACTTACTGTTTATTTTTTATTTCACGCGCTTGTAGGTTCGATTCCAGAGTATCTGCACACTTCGTCCAAACGCAGCGTTCCCCTTGGCGATGTCCTTGATCAACTTGTCCATCTCCACCGCAACCCCCTTCTCGTACGTCTGGAATAGACTTAGCAACTTCGTCTCCTCAAAAAGCCGCTTCACAGTGGCGATCTTCTTCTCATCGTGCTGTCCGTAGTTTTCCTTGAAAACGCGTTTCTGCTCCTCGGAGGCGACCTCAAGAAACTTCACGGCGAGCCAGGAGCACTTCGCATCTTGGATATCGGTGCCCACCTTTCCTAGCTTCTCCGGTGGCGTGAAACAATCCATCACGTCATCCTGCACCTGAAAGTATTCCCCCATCGCCATCGCGAGGTGCTCTAGCTTTACGGCGTCCACTTTCTGGTAGCTGTTGCTCACGAGCAGCCCCATCACGAGTGGCAACCAATAGGTGTAGTAGGCAGTTTTGTATTTCACGATTCTTTTATAATTAAACACAGTGTACTCAGAGTAATCGGTCGTCTTCGAGAGCGGAGTGTGCGCGTTTAGCTTGCTTGAATCCACCATCGACGTGACGTCGTAAAACTGCCCAATATCCGTCGTCATATCAACTTCGTGTAAAACGCGCAGAACCTCCGTCATAAAAGGCCGCCCCGCGAGTAAATGGCAGACGATTTGCGTTGCAAGGGAGAGGAGGATGAGGCCATCGTTAATCGCAACCTGCGCCGTAACGCCGGGGTAAAGATACCAGCACGGTTTGCCGCGGCGTACCTTGCTTCCATCCATGATATCATCCTCAACGAGGAAGTGTGCTTGTAGCAGCTCAATCGCCCATCCACAGACGCACGCGTCGTGCAGGATGCGCTCTAGCGTCGCCGCGTCGACGTGCTGATCTGCCGCCACCGATTCGGCAACATCCACAACGCAGATCCCGCGATTGTACTTACCCCCAAGACAAGTATTGTCTAGCATATCCTTAATGTACTGTCTTCGATTGACGTCCATCTGGTATTTAGTTTCCATAAATGAGAGCACAAATTGCTGAATCTCATCATATACTTTCAGAAAACGGTCAAAGTTCGACATCTGGTCGGCTTAAACGATATCAAAGATAACAACAACAATAGTAATAGTAGTAGTAGTAGTAGTAGTAGTAGTAGTAGTAGTAGTAGTAATAATAATAATAATAGTTTTCTCTATGTTGTTTTATAGTAAAAAAGTAAAGGAAAGAAAAGGTGAATCATAGTCTCATAAGAAAGAAACCAAAGATCTTAAATAACAACAAACAAAAGACCAAATTGATATTAAGCGAAAACGGCACACACATGCCCCCATAGCAAAGAGAGGGCTACTGATGTTCATAGTTCAGCAAAATATACTCAAAACAATATTTTAACGCAAAGAAAAAAACACTTCATATGTGCATATATAGTCTAATCAGTTCTGCATACATTATATCACATACTTGCATTCTGCACCCAGGATATTTTTTTTTGAAGAATCAGAAAACGATTAATACAAGTATTCATCTGCCACAATGTCGTTGCCAAAAATGGAGATGAGTAAAACAACACATCACTTTAATAGTCAAACCATTTATCCCCAAATCGTATTCTTGTTATCCCATCTAATAAACAATCCAATACGTAATCGAGTATAACGCCAAAAGCTCCATATCTTTACATACATGCACCACTCACTCTTTTCTGTATGGTGTTTCACCGTCTGGGTGTACTTCTCTGAGACTGCCAAAGAGAAAATGAGCCCCCCTCAACGAGGACCCACCCCATACGTACCAAAAAATACTGCATGTGCATATTTGAAAAATTTGTACATGCTCGGTCGCTTTATTTATCACATGATATGATATGCAATTTTTCTATTTTCCTACCCTCTTCCCCTCTTTTTTCCCCTCCCTTCAATTGTTCAGGTTAATCATCGGCGGACCGCCCGATCCGGCGAGTCGAGAGGGCTCCTTCAGCTGAATATTCATCTCATCCACAGAGCGCAAGCACTCGGCCTTAATCGGTAAATACTGCATCTCCTTCTCCTTTAGCCGGACGAAATCCTCCAGAGAGAAGGTGGTTTGCCATAACAACCGCAGCTTCTGCTCCTGCGCCGTTAGGGACTGGTGGAGGCTGTCGGCCTGGAGTTGCGTTTTCCGCCGCCCGTACTCTTCCATCGCGGCATCCACCAACCGCCTTCCATGATCGCAAACGCACTTAAAATAACTCAACTGCTCCTCCAAGTCGCACCGGAGGGTATCCACCTCTTGTCGAAGCCCATCGAGATCCTCATAACGCTCAATCTCGGCCCTCTGCTCCGTCATCTTCGCGTTCTGCGATTCCAACTCCTCCTTGATTTTTCGATCGAGGTGGGAGACCTTATCGAGCTCAGCTTTTCGTTCCATCAGCTCTTTCTCCAGGCGTTGATGGGTGCGTTGGTCGTTTTTGATCTGCTCCTGCTTCGCGTCGACCTCGGTGGTGAGGACTTGCAGGGCGCCGGGGTTGCCACCGGCGGGGAGCTGCCGCTGAAGCTCCAACGCGCGCGATATCTTCTCCAGGAGCGTCGTGATCTCCTGCTGCTCCTGCTCAATCTTCGCGAGGGAGTCGCGCTCCTTGTCGGGGTACTCATCCAAGAAGGTCTGCATCTCCTGCTCCTTCTCCTTTAGCGACTGGTAGGTCTTCACGTTTTCGCTCGTGTAGTTTTTAATCTCGTCGTCAAGGGACTTAAGACGCATCTTGGAGTCTTCCAGCGCGTCGCGGGTGTCGACGATTTGCCGCCCAAGCGCCTCGATATCGGAGCGAGTGGCTTTCACTTTCTTGATCAGAAGCTGCTTCTCCTCCTCCACCGAGAGGGAGCACTCCTTCGCGAGCTCATCGCGCTCGCGGCGCTTGCGTAGGATCTCGCACAGCATCTCCGCTGCGCGCCGTCGGCTGCCATCCTTGTCAAGCTTCGTCATGAGCAGCTCCTGCTTCGCGGTTAAGGTGCGAACCTCGTGCTGCTTCTCGAGAACCTGCTGGGAGACGGCGAAGGCCTCATCCCGAACCGCCTTGTAGGCGTTGTAGTCTTCATTATTCGTTAGGATGCGGCGATCCAAGTTCTGCATCTCGTCATCGAGTGCCTGCATGTTATCCTTTATCTTCGCCTCCGCCTCCCGCAGGCTAAGGAACAGCTTATCCACCTCCTTCCGCTTCTGCGCGTTCTCCTGCGCGAGCTGCGCGTTTTCCTTCCGCATGCTTGCGAGGTCACGCGTGTCGGCGCTCTCGATCGCGAGATTCACATCCGCGAGCATCCCTTTGAGCTTCTCGATCTCCTCGTTGAGAGACTTCGTTTTCTGCTGGAGTTGAACCAAGACGGAGCTGTTCTTCTCAATCTGCTGTTCCTGCTCGTTGAGGCGCTCGATCTCGGCGGAAAGTTCCGCAATCTTTGGCCGCAGCAGGCCGATGTAGTAGCTACGATCGCCGACCTGCCGAGCCGGACCTGCGGAAGTTCCCAACCCTCGACGAGAAGCCGCACGAACGCCCTCTCGAATGACCGCAGGCTGCGCAGCTACGGCGATGGGTTGCCGTAAACTCCCACCCACACCCACTGCGGCACCACGATTGCTGCCAGAACGCATCGCACTTCCCGGCGGAACGCCGGAAGCCGTCAACGGATTATTCATCTCAATGAAAAAAAAAGAACGAACCGGATCTGCTCCTTAATGGAATAATAAAAATGGTTTTTTCCTTCCTTGTTGTTTGCGCCTCCACCCTCCCCTTTGTTTTCCTTGCAAAGGGTGTGCCAAAGGTGAAGAGGTGGCCTGAAAACTTCTATTGTTTGCCCTTCCTGAGCGCTAGTAATTACAACACGACGTATTCGTGAAAACTATGGTAAAACTTAAAAATAAAGTAAGCACATTAAAGTGTGCAATGATAATTAATAAAGAGCCCCACACAAGGACTGCACATGTGATAATATTTACCACTAATGCGACATAAACAAACCCAAAGGCATCCTTTGTTAAACATTATGAAAAAAGCATTTGGTATTTTTACCCGATGGAATAATAATATTCCTTTCACAATGTATTTAGCTATTACACGTCAAGGGGAAGACAAGTGCATGTGTAGACACATACATAGATATATATAAATATATACAATATATATATGAACACATACATACATTAAGCGAAAAAGTCTGATGATGCACGAACCTTGGCACGGTTTGTTTCTCCTCCTTGTTTTCCACTTCCACAGTCCGCGTTGCCCCGTTGTGGTGGCAAGCGTAAGGAGAACAGGCCGAAAAAGTGTACGCATCACGAATGGAGGAAAGAAAACACTGATATGTACACGTGCACAACAGCAATAATCCATCCTCAACACTTATCCTAATTTTTGTATTTTTAACGATTCCTACCAATCCATTTCTTCCATCCGTGAACGCCTCATCGTCCTTGGTTCCTGCTCCACCTCTTCCTCAATCATCAGCTTCTCGCGGCGGCGTCTAGCGCTACTAACACTTCCATTAGAACCGCTCATGCCCTTGACCTTTCGTGATTTGACAAGCGAAGACGTACTTGGTTCATCCTCCATTTCCTCATCTAGATCATCCTCTTCATCCATCACAAACTCAGGGAATTCCTCATCCTCCCCTGCTTCTAACTTCTCAAAGTCCTCCCGATCTTCCTCCTCATCGAGTAATCTCTCAAAGGCCTCCTTGCTCGTGTTCATGACACCGTCGTACGTGCCTTGACGAAGACGATCTAGCAGCTCTTTTTCAATCTCTAACTCAATACGGGCAGCAGCCTCAGCCTTCTCCTCACGACGAAGAAGTTTATCCTCCTGCCGCTTGTTCACCGAAACGTACTTCGTCTCCGGCTCCATCATCATCTTACGTTTACGCATTAGGTACTGCTTCAGACGCAACAAACGTGCCTTAATTTTGTTGACTAATTTTTGATCCCACCATTGAAGCTCCTCATCAATTTGCTCAAGCGCCTTGGGGAAGCTGCTGTCGAGTTTAATCTTCTCCCATTGACGCCGTGGGAGATGCACACGCTCAGCAGTTTTGATGTAGAGATAAAGCTCATCCTCGTGCTCGATGACGGTAGCATACTGCCCATTAGACAAGGGGCATACACCGCGCTGGCATAAACCGGTTATGTTGTAAGGATTTCGACAAAAGCGTACCTTATCGTCATGAGTTTTTACCTTAAATGAGCAAAATCCCTGCCCCATGACATTCCACATCGCGTCATCGTGGTTCATGGCTTATTTATTATTATTTAAATGTAATAAGGGTAATTGTAAGTTGCAATAGATATATATGTACAGGATTATTAATACTTCCAAAATAAAAAATATAAGTCCTAGCAGTATTTTATTTTACTAAATTAGTGAAAAAAGACAAAGAGATCACCCCTTCAGTCCAAGAAAAAAATGAGCCTGCAGATGAAAACAATACAGATCACGGAAAAGAAAAAAGGAGAAGTAGAAGACATATACTTAGGTATCGCATGTCAAAAAATAAAGCCTGTATCCATAATTCGATAACCCAACATGGATTCACCCTGTTCTTTATGACGAATCGCCTTCTGCATCAATATTATGGAAAGGAAGTATAATAAAAAATACAGTCTCTCCGTTTTGATTGGGGTTATCGCCCCTGTCCTTTTTTACTCCTCTCTCTCCCCCCTTTATGGAGTTAAACCTTCCCGAGCCTCGCGACCAACTCATGATCCGATCCCAAGAAGTGCGATATCTCCTTCAAGGCGACGCGCCCGAAGGCGTCCCCGAGGCTACGCAGCTTCACGGCCTCCGTCAGCGCCCGCTCCATCTCACCGCGGAGAAAAAACGTGATCGCCAGATGCGCACGGCGAACGCAATCGGTGGGGTTCGCGCTCAGCCACCCCTGAAGCTTGCGTTCGCTGCACTCCGCGGCCACCCAAGGCGACGGGGCGGCGAGCATCAGCCGCCACAGCACACACGCCCGACATTCATCGCTTAGCGGCTCCTCCGTGAAGGGGAAAAAAGCCCCATCAATGTTTTTTTCACCCCCAGTGAGGCGTTCGAGAAAAGTATTATGCAGCACCTCCTTCCCTTGCACGAGCTGCGCGATGGCGGCCCACGCGAGGCAGTGCGCGACGCTCCTCGTGTAATCACGTGGAAAGGAAGACTCCTCTGCCGTGGAGACCGTGGTGTTTGAAGCCCCTCGCCTTTCTTCTCCTTCCCCCCTACACACCTCCCCTTCCAACGCCTCCAACGTCTTCAAGGACTTCAGGAAAATCTTCTCAGCGTACGCCGCACGGTCCTTGCGAAGTAAATCTTTGCCCATCTCCATCATTCGCACGACATCCACGCTTAGCGTCCACGCCACCGTAGAATTAGGGTTGGGAGAACTTCCAAGTTCATCCTCATCCCTTCCTTGAAGGGGAGCCTCGCCGCGGATATGCGCGGGTGCGTTGCCTCTCTGGTAGAGCGCCAATTTTGCGCAGACGCGGGGAATTTCGTTCGCGGTTAGAGCGCCTAACGGGATGTCGAGAAACGTATCCGAGATAGCGCCGCGGAACACAATCGCGAGCAGTGGGAATCCTCTTCGCTTTTGCAACTGCTTCTTAGCCTCCGCAAAGGCGTCACTGGTGGAATCCCAGATGAATAACCTCACTCGGGTACTGCGTTGCTCCGCGCTGCTCTCTACTTGCCGCTGAAATGCGGTAATTCCATCGGTGGACACTCCCGCATCGCCGTTCTCATAGCAAAGTAAGAAAGAGTCCGAAGATGGAGGAGAAAGTTGTGGTTCACTTGTGGAATAATCAGGCGAGCAAACCCCAGCGATGTCTCGGTCTGCGTAAAATATACGTCGAAACTCCTCTACACTCGATACGAACTTCGTTGGAACAGTCATATTCCTAACAAAGGGAGTTTGTTACCTCTAAATATACACATAAATATACTGATAAATGAGAGAGACAAAGGTAAGATACTACACACAACTTCAATACATCGAGAAGGTAAGACAAAGGATACTAGACGCGTAAAAATTACTTATGTGAATCAATTTTTTACCCTTTCATTTGGAGTTTGGCAATAATATCTTACATACGCAAATAGAAGAATATAAATCGAACATATTGAAAAAAGAAACACGATTTACGATACAACAGCAAATAGTAATAATAATAATAGCAATAATAAACTTGAGTACTCACAAACACAGTGAGAGTGAAGCTCACGAATTGATGGAGTTGCATCATAACGCGTCAACAAGTCTTCATAGAGGGAGGGAAAAAGGGGAGGGGACATAACATGAGACTCGATGATGCAGCAAATACGACAAGCTAATGATAAGTGCCTTGAAAGCAATTTAGCTACACGGTAAGCTCAGCCTAAGCTTGAAACCATCACAAATTGTGTCGCGTTTGGAGCAACCTCCTCCTGCGCCCCTCTCGGGCGCTGCCAAAGTTTCTAAACCCCGGCTTTTGTCGCTGTGGCAGGCATGGGTATGATCTAAGTTGGCGTTGGGGGGGGAGTTGGAATCCGCATTTCGCCGCTCGTCCCCATCCCCGCTCGGCTCCCCATGGCACCAACCACCGTCGTACACACCACACCCACTGGCGTTTAGAACCCCCATACCATCCTTTTCATCATTGCGCCACTCGCCATCGTACTCGACAATCGTAGCACCGCTTGTCTTGACGAACTTCCCGCGACCATGACGCTTGCCGTGTACAAACTGCCCAAAGTAGATTGCGCCCCCCGCCTCCGGGGAGGCCTGAAAGAAACCTATGCCGTGAAAAAGGCCGCGATCCCACTGCCCATCATATGTACTCCCGTCCTCAAACACGCATACCCCGCTCCCGCACATGTTATCGTACGCCCACGAGCCCTGGTATTGAAAAAACGGGCTCTTATACACCCCTTGCCCGTGCCGCCGCCCCTTCACCCAGTCCCCAACATAGACGTCGCCGTTAAAGAAGAACTTCCTTCCACGGCCGTGCTCGTAGCCCGCGCGCCATGCCCCCTCATAGCGACTCCCGCTCCGGTAGAGGTACACCCCATGCCCCTCAAACAGCCCATCCCGCCACTCCCCTTTGTAGACTCGCCCGTCGTAGTAGGTGTACTCGCCGTACCCGCTTATGCGGTTGTTGAGGAACTCTCCGACGTAGACGCCCTCGGGTTCCACCAACTCCCCACGCCCGTGGCGCCGGTTGTCCAGCCACGCCCCACTGTAGATCGTTCGCTGGGCCGGGGAGTGTAGGGTGCCCGTCCCACAGCGTTGTCCCAGAAACCACTGTCCCTCATAGACCTCCCCGGTCGCAGCCCGCACCAGGCTCCCTTTACCGTGCAGCAGGCAGTTCTTCCAGTGCCCTTCGTAGAGGTCCCCGTTAGGGAACTGAAAGGCCTGGTAGCCGTCCGGGACAAGCGGGGTGCGGCGCTCGCGGACGGCGACGGCGACCTCGTCCAGAAGCCGCGCGCTCCGCT